GTCGTAGTCATCGAGGGGTTATTATCTCGAACTCGAGTTCAGCGTTGACGAATCTTTGGTTTGAGTACTGGTGCTGCTGAGATCCGCAGTGTAGAAGGATCGTGTTTATCGAGGATCAATGTCCTCCAGTTGAATAGGTGTGGAATCTTGGAGAGTTGGGGGCTTGCTCAGGCGTGTCTCTCGGCTGTTGGTTGCGGTTCATATGACTGGGTTCATCGCTCTAGTAGCTCTTGTGTTTTTGCAAAGTGTCTTTAGTAAGCAACCAATTAATCAGCCGTCAATAAACATTGCGGAGTTTTAACTTTTATAATTTACATACAGTAGCAATACCAGTATCGCGGGGGGCCCAAAGCCTGACTGACGCCAAGTACAGCTTGGGGTCAAAAACTAGACTTTGCATGGGTGCCTTAATATTCTTCGTTACGCGCCCCTGCTTACATACATAAGTTCAGAACTCACCTGTAGAGGGGAATGGGAATTATAGGAAGAAGAGACATATGAGCTCATGTATTGTCCTCGTCATTTTAGCGAAGTGACCATCGCCAAAGATTATCGAGTAGCTCAACAAGGATATCATTTCAAACCTTCATACAAGAAAATTGCTTACATTTGAACTTATTTTTTGTCTAATTATATTTTAATTCTGGAAAAAATATATCTTCTAGATGAATATTCATATGTATTTGCTACATGCTGTTGAAATGTTCGCAGTTTTGGTTTTATTTATCTAAAAATTGCCTTATGTGTAATAACGACATACGACGAATACATACTTTAACTGGTTACGAGATATAAATGACAGTGAATCTTTTGAAAACATTCTCAAAATAAACACCATGAAAGTTTAATTGTTGAAGTTGGAGAAGTAAAAAGGAATGCTATCTTTTTTCACCCCCACAAAATATTTTACTGAAGTCCTCTAGTACCCAAAAAGGTCAGTTTGGTTGAAAATCTAAGCTATTTTTAGATTGCATGAAAAGTTTTGCATTTGTACAACAATAAATACATTTTATATTTGTCGTTATGGTATTTTTAACTTATAGACTTTTGGATACTTGTATCAGTTTCGTTTGCTACCGTGTGTCTACTTTCGCATGCCTTCCAGTTTGTTTTTCAAATATTGATCCATAATAGTTTTATATATCTAGTCTATAGTTTTCAACTTCGAAACCATTCTCTATTAATGATATCTGCCTTACGAAAAGTGCAATATTTCGTGTTATGGTTTGAAAACGTGATTTAAGTTTTTTATTAGAATTGGAAAAGGGGAAATTGCTAAACTATTTTTAAAATTTACTTTTGAATAGTATTGTTAAAAGAAGCACAAATAACTGAGGCGATCTATTTTACACCAATAGAAAAGGATCGAAAAGTAATTCTTTGTTTCTAAAAAGGAATTTTCGCTAATTATTCGAAGAAAATGTACAGCATTAAGAAAACCGATTATGGTATTAAGAGTTAATTTTTTGCATTCATAACCTTCTAGCTTTTACTTTTCCATTCCGCTGGGTATTTCATTATGTTATGTGACTATGAAAATTGTTTTGTTTTTTTAAAGTTATTTATCTAACATTAAACTTTCAAATTCTATCAGAAACATTTTATTATAGTCTTCGTCTCTTGATTTAAAAAGTACAGGACTCATTTTCAAAAATGGAAGAATATTTATCTTATACGACATCGTAACACCTCACCCCTTGGGAGTTTTCCAAAAAATCTTTTTTGTGCGGAGCCTTACTCAACAAAAGAAACAAGAGCTAGCCAAATTTAAAGTCTGTAGGTCTTATGCTTCAAACTGGGGAGTTTTTGCCTATAAGAGCCACTGCATTATCTCTTGGGACATCCTTAGCGGAGCTCAGTTCAACAAAAGAAACATGACTGCCGTCTGTATGTCTAACAGTGCTGGAGATCTCATAATGAATGAGTGAATCCCTTTTTTCCTATATACTATATACATAGATAATCTAAAATTTTATCAATACTTTTCTTTGATCATGTCCATTTAATTGAATTATATGTGCTTTATGTTCTTTGTGATGTTGTTGAAAAACAACCGCGAATTTAACAAAGTTGGATTTTTAGGGTAATTGTAGTATTAACGTGCATGTATATAAACTAGCTGGTATACCCGTTCTTCGCACGGATGAATTTAAAAATTAAACAATACAGACTGAAGGATAAAAGAGTTTTTAATGAGTTAATTTTATGTGAATTGTAAATTAAATAAAAAAAAAGAAAGAAAAGAAAAGCTTTTTGCATATCTCAGCTGAACAAAAAAAAAACCATGTTCGCTAAATTTTAAGTCTTAAGATATAATAGCTGAATTTATTATTATTATTATTTATGACGCCCCGTAACTTTCTTATGGGTCGATTTTTGAAAACAACTACCTGCTTAGCAAAAGCAACACGTTGTTACAAATTTTGTGTAATAAACGCTTAAAATAGTGTAAAATCGGAACCCTAATTTTTTCCCCTAAAATAAAAGTAGCCTAAGTTACTCCTTATAACATTAGCTATCTGCCAGTAAACGTTCCGTTAAAATTGATTCAGTCGTTTTAGAGATTAGCTGGAACAAACAGAAAAACAGACAAAAATTTTAAAAATTGATTTTTTCATATAAGTACCGTATATACTTTTAAATGCATTTAGTAAAAAGCTATTAATTTCAAATTACAGACACTTCATTTTTATTTATATGTATAGAATAGATGTGCGAAAAATTCTGTACAGTATTATATCTGTATGAAGTTACGGTTTAGATATTCTATCATTATAAAAATTAGAATACTTTTTTTTAAATTTAGTCATTGTGTTTGGAATATTCAGAAAATAGTTAAACATATCTCTGCTAACCATATGATATGGTATAATTTCGATTACTACAAAATAATCGAGATAAACATTTAATTTTTATTTGTTATTCGTAAGACTTCTCTACATAGGGACCCTCCACAGTTATGCATTTCTCCCAGCTCTCTTCTTGACCTTTCGAAGGTCATTATATTATACTCTAATAGACTCTAAGCCATTGATTCACTTTTTGAGTGACATCATTTGTTGTCTAATCATCGGTCCCGCAGTGACTTTTTGAGTACTCGAGGGATGGGGGGAGAAAAAGTCATTTGAAGCAAGATAGGGTGAATATGTGACAACATTTCAAAGCCTCATCGCTGTGATTTCTTAACCGTTCCTTCATAGGAATTGGCATTTGCAAGAAGACGGACGCCTTGTGGTAATCATACCGCACCATTTCTTGATCAGAGCATCATATTTGTTCAGAAATATAAAGTATAGGCACACGTGTGATGGCCTGTTTCTTCTCCAGGCAGCCTAGTGGTTAAGGTATCGGATCGTGGCTTGCCTTGTCACGAGTTGGAGCCCAGTACCACTCAAGACACGCCGTGTAGGGCAGCGATGCATGTTAAATCTGTCGAGAGCTGAAATGACCTCCCGTTGGTGTGGTAGTTAGGAGAGGGGTGTCATGAGGTCACTTGACCATGGTTCAAAATGAAGTGGTCCGCCGCCAATAGCCCTCGTGTGGCTGAACAGTGCGACGTTAATATTCAATCTATCAATCTCCAGGCAGCCTGTTAAAATGACGTACACGATAGTTCCAAAAACACAGACAGAATGACTTTCCCTTCTTCACCTTGAGGAGAAAGTGAGTCTGTTCTTCCACATTTTGCTCATATGTTTAATATGTAAATCAGGCTACTGCAGCCGAGTAGCTATGTTCGTGGACTCATGGCCGGCGTCGTAGAGTGACAGGTTTGGGTCCACTGAAGACCTGTCACGTAGAGATGGGGGGATACATGTTAAATCTGAAGTGTTTGAAGAGTAGCTTAAATGTAAATGTCACCTTCGTCACTTGACCGAGGATCAAAATTACGTGGTCCGTCACCGATATCTCTCTTGGAGCTTCATCCTTCAACCGATTATCAATACTGTACATTACAAACTGTATGATAGCCTCCCACCCGGGGAAGCCATCTCTGCATATACTCGACCTAAATCTGTAGGTGGTAAGGACTGATGCCCCAAGATAGCCATGAGAAATCCAATTTATTATTATCAAATATAAAAATCAAAGACAAGCTTACTATAGAGGGAAAATCCAGAGTGATATAACTATAGCTTAAATGCCTATGTGGATACGCGCATGAAATACTAATAGTTCAACTTGCCTCAAAATTATATTAGGAATTCTAACTTCCTTATTTTATTTGAATAGCTTAAGTCTGTCCTATGATCACGCATCTTAATTCCTATCCTTACCGTAACAGCACTGCGTTCAGAAACTCAGCTTCTTTCCTCCTTCTTCACCGGTTACTAAACTTCCACTCTATATATATACCAGTTAATCTGCATATCAAAGTTTCTTCTTGAGAGGGATGGCTGTGAAATAACTCAATGGATGGCCCAAAAGATTCCCCAAGAGAATTAATAAAAAAATCCGTAAAGCCCCGTCACAACTTTTATATTTTATTTTAAGGGTGCGACCGACCCCCATTGTATAAATTATAGAATTGTTCAAATTTATCGCTCGGATTATAAAACTCTTATTTACAAGTACAGGATGAGAACAAAAAATGGACTCGATTTTAAAAAATCCTATTATCGAAAAAAATTCCTGCACATATTACAATAAGTGATACGTGAATGTAAAGAGAAATAGACCGAGTGTTTTTCTTCAGTTACTAATGTTCGATGTGTGACCCTCTTGTGACACGTCTGATCTGTGATCCAGTTCGTTCCTTGCATTTTGGAGCCTCACTCTATTGTTGTTGTTGTTGTGTGTGTGTGTGTTTTTTTTTATCCTGGGAACATATGAAATACAAGTGAAGATGAACAGAATCATACAATACAACAGAAGAATATACACATTTATTACAGATGATGATTCCAGCATATAACAAGAAGGGGTGCGCTGCTTTCCTTTCGAGACGGGAATCCATTACAAGCAAAAGACTGACTTCTTTCCCGAATAAGATACAACCCTGTCTGACTCGGGATTCGAACCCGAACCCACTCGGTTACAAGCCGAGCCACCCTACTGGCTGAGCGACGCTTCACTCTATTAATGGTTTTTAATGCTGCACAAATGATGCTTGTCGGCCTCTGACATTTGTTGCGTCCATTGCAAACGATATGACTTGAAATTTAATTATTTTTGCCAAATTGTTCATACCTTTTTCTGGGGCATTCTAAGTTAATAGACGACAACTTTCGTAGGCCATAACTCTTTGCCACCACGTTTGAATTTCTTATCATAGAGCCTTGAATGTGCTGCAACGTGTTGATCATTGATGAGAGTGAGTGAATGAGTGAGTGAATATTAACGTCGCACTGTCCAGATACACGAGGGCTTTTGACGACGGCCCACGTCATTTTGAACCATGGTCAACTGACGTGGATGACACCTGAGCTGGCATCCCCTCTCCTAACTACCACACCATACCAACGGGAGGAAGTTTCAGCTCTCGACAGATTTAACGTGCATTGCTGCCCTACACGGCGTGTCTTTAGTGGTACTGGGCTCGAACTCATAACATGTCTGCCATGTTCCGATATCTTAACCACTAGGCTACCACAGCCCCCAATCATTGGGGAGAAAAAATTTGGTCTATTTCTCTTTACATTCTCATGTATCACTTATTACAATTTATGCAATAGTTTCCATAATATGATTTTTTAACTCTTTTGTGCTCATTCTGTATTATGTAGTTCTATTGGCGATATAGCCAAGTTGGCATCATTTTTGGAGGCCAAATAGAATGACCATTTTTTTGGCGACCCTATGAATGCCTCTGGAAATCTTGGAGAAATCTATAACATCACGATCTATGGCATAAGCTGATTTTTCGAGAAAGTGCTGCAAGGTAGAGGGAGCCCTACGCAAATCGTTCTTGGTGCTCGTCATCAGTGTAATCAATGTTTTTACGACACATTTTTACTAACTATACCTTATGTATAAATAAATTTATTACAGCATCACACAAAAACTTTTTTATATATAGAGAGAAAAGGAATGAACACGGAATATTAACAACTGATCTCTCGTATTTAAGCAAACAGGCGATAAACCGAAATAAAGGAACACAAAACGCAAGATTTTAAATGTGTTAATTAAAAGCACGAGTTCAAATGTGTGAGTTGGAAGGTAATTTGTTAATAGAAGTCTTATTCTTCTCTCTCTCTCTCTGTGTTTCCAAAAGATAAGACTTTAGTTTAATTTAGAATATGGTATTTTTTGATTACTCTAACACACGGAACTGCGTTTTTAAACGAGAGAAAGCTTCAACGAGAAAAAAGTTAATTCCTGACCAGTCTGGGTTTATTCTTGAAAATATATTAGTGCAAAAATGTGTAGGTAGAAGTTTTAATCTTTTAATGAATCATAAAAAAACGTTTCCAAAATAAAAAAAGATTTTCTTTGTCCGTTTTTCCTTTTACAGAAATGACATTTTTTAAAAAATTAAAGTTAGAAAGTATTTTAATTTTGTAGAAATATCTGCTTGTCTGTGACATTTCCATCTTAAAGTATAATTATAAATTTCAAGATGTAATTTTTCCTGTCATATGTATTAAGTTGATAATTAAATTTTACATACTCTTATTTCATTGTAAAATTTAGCACATTTCATTACCGGATGGTTTAAACTAGATAAAATACAGGGTGAGTACAAATGATGGACCCTATTTTAAAAAACCATATTCTTGATGCATATGTTCCAGTAAGTGATAGGTGAATGTTAAGAAAGAGAAACAGGCCAAATTTTTTTCCACCAATGATCAACAGCACATTCAAGATCGCTGTGATTGAAATCCATACATGATGACCATGACAGAGAAGATTTTTTGTGTATCAGAGTATGCACAGATTTTTTTTTAATTATTTAGATGCAAACAGAAATTGCTAAGGAAAAGAAGCACCAACCAAAAAGAGAATTCTGAGATAGTATTGTCAATTTATGGAAACAGGTTGAGTACAAAGAAAAGCAGCGGCCAGCCAAGCGTCTTAGAAGCAGCAGTGGAGAGGATGAAGCCATTTTGTTCAAAGTCTACGAGAGTTGTCGCCTGTGATCGTGAAATGCCCCAGAAAACGGTATGGAAAATTTTACGAAAAAAATTAAATTTCAAGCCGTATTATTTGCAGTCGACACAAAAAATAACAGAGGAGGACAAGTAAGCATTTGTACAGCAATGCGAACCATTGATAGGGTGATGCTGCAAAATGTATGGAATGAGCTGGATTACAGATTGGACGTAGGCAGTGTCACAAGAGAGTCACGCATCGAACATTTGTAACAGAAAAAAAAACCGATATATTTCTCTTTACATTCATGTATCACTTATTTTAATGTGTGCAGTAATTTCGATAAAAGGATTTTTTAAAATCGGGTCCATCATTTATACTCACCCTGTATAATCGGGACTATAAATACTGCTTATACCGGCTTTCCAAAAAGTATGACTTCACTCTCAAATATTAATTACTAAAAAAATAACGGTATTAAGTTACGATTTTTTTTTGTACCGTAAGGCTTTTTTTTAAAATGCTTTTTGTCCGATTTCAATTTGCACATCCGAAGTTGCCCGAAAAACATCATTACGAGATTTTTAGCCATTTTCTCTGGTAATCGCGGTAGCCTAGTGATCAAGGTGGCTGGCATGTCGCGAGATCGAGCTCATTACCACTCAAGATCCACCGTGTAGGGGAACGATGCACGTTAAATCTCTCGTGACAAAATGACGAGGTCCGTCGCCAAAAGCCCCCGTGTAGCCCCCAACGTTAATATTCCCTCACTCCTACCAGATTGTGAATATTCTATTATTTACTATCTCTGGTTCCACGAGATAACCTTATGCTCGTTAGTTATCCCAATGTCTATCAAAACTAAATAGTTTTTTAATGGAAAATGCCCCTTTTTTTGTGCATTTGTCGAAAAAAACCCTATAATGTGAAGGAGAGGAAACAATTTATCAATGGATTCGATGTTAAACTCTAAATTTAAGCACGAGTAGCTTCTAAATTTTAGGTTGTAAATTCAGAGCAATGTATTTAATTGTAAGATATTTCCCAGCATGAGTGGAAACAAAAATAAATTATGAAAACAAACTAATGTAATGCGATATCCCACATTTAATCTCAATTGATCTAGACTTCGACAGTTTGAGTGAAAAAAAAAAGCAAGCACATATCTCAGATACTAAATATAATGCAAGGATACGTGACACTTGGATCACAGATTAATATTATCAGCAAGTAAATTATATTATAACAAATTAGATTAGAATTTTTTAATAATAAATGCAATACTTCTTATAACTGCCTTTACATAAAGTGCATGTAATATGTTGTTCTACTTTAAATATAGTTTAGATATATATTCTTCGAAATATGTGCATGGAATGGGGTTCCATGAAAACACTTTCTAGTTCTAGGGGTTCCCCGAAAGCCCGTTCAAGTTCTAAGGGTTCCATGAATTGAAACAGTTAGAAGACCACTAGCGTAGAAGTGTCTCTCTAGTTTCTGTGAAGCTCATTACTGTATCGAGTCTCTCTGGGTTTTCCCTTTAGGTGTCTCTTTAAAGGTGGAATACGTCACGCCCACAAAAGGGACACGTGATGTAGAACCACTTCTGTTTGGACGTTGCCAGGATAACTATTCCACTGTTGGTCCAAGTCCCCCTCTCGCGGGGTCTTTGAAGCCGGTGGTTGTCGGGGGAACTGTGCGGGCCATCTCACTGACGGCTGGATCAAGGGAGGTCAAGGGTTGACTTCCCTTAGAACATAAGAGTCAGGGTGTTAAGTCTAGGATATACTTTCCCACGTGAAACTACTTGACCATTGAGACGTCATTAGTTCCCTAACAGGAAATGGGTCCTTTGGTGAAGACCTCCGCAATGTCTTCAATTTAAAAGTAACCTATGGCACATGACGTGCATCAGTCTAAATTCTACTTACGATTGAAATCATACTCAATACTCACCTATCGGCCCGACGAAGGAAAAAAAAATACAGTAGAACGTTGTTTATCCAAACGTTTATTATCCGGAGCGTCAAATTTCCGAACCAGTTTTTTTTTTTGTCAACTACATGTACTGTGTATGAATACGTTTTCGAACAGTGCAATGCTCAACAGTTGTTTCACGTGAGGCCAAAAGTGACGGGAAAACCCAAGGTCAGGGATATTTGGGGAATTTCTGTTGTGTGATTTGGTAAACATCTGGGCGGAATATTAGGTCAGTTTGTTT